ACCATGTTAATTGATAGGCCAATATGCAGGAGAAGCACGTACTTCAATGTAAGATTGGAGGAATCAAGAACTCCCTGGATTTTTACTTGCACGATTCCACTAAGTCTTGGATCCGAGACCAAAAAGATAATGACTTTACCACCCTTTCCGAGCAAGAGCACGAACACCTCCTCCCGCGTATGGCTATTGAGGGCGTAGCCGAACAGCTTCCGTACGTAGTCGACCAGCTTAGCGTCGTAGTTGAAGATGTCGCCTATAAAGGCGTCCATGCGCAAAGTGGGGTACTCCATCCCCTGCAAGAAGTGATCGAGTCAACTCCTTGCCTTTCTGAGCGGAGGAGAAATGGCATCTCAGCCAAGATGGAAACACATGACTCGGAAGCTTTCAGAGGATTCAACGGCAAAGCCAGCGTGCAACTGGCAATGCTCGGATTCTTGTGAAGAGACGGAAAGCATCTTCCATGAACGGTCCGCCAGCTCTCGTTGCGTGTTAGCTAGTCAAAGAAGCAAGTTGCTCGGGTTTCTTTGAATCAACATAGGAAGCTTACCATAAAGTCCGTCACGTTTTTCTAGTCACATTGGGAAGATTTGTGTGCATGCTTTTTGGAACTATGATCTGCACTTGTTGAAATTCGTCAATGTGTATTGATGGTACATGTTTTTTCATGATTCAACAACCACGATTGCATTCAAGGATTTCCGTGTGATGATGTTGTCAACAATGTTGGCCAAAAGCTTTGATTGGATTGATGGATGACGTCAGCAATGAGCGACACGAAAAGTTGGTACAAGACATTGGACACTTGGACATGCTCGCACTGTGATGACGTCAGCAATGAGCGACACGAAAAGTTGGTACAAGACCTTGGACACTTGGACATGCTCGTACTGTGATGACGTCAGCAATGAGCGACCACGAAAAGTTGGTGCTAGACCTTGGACACTTGGACACCGGCGGCGAGACAAGGCCAGATGATTAGATCCCCTAAGCAAAAATGTATGGGGCCAGCTAGCCTGACCGAGGTTTTATTGGTGCAAGACATGCATCAAAACGAGCGTACCAAGCCACACGTGCCCTCTGACTTTCCTTCAGGGAACTCTTCTATTGGGGGAAGTGATTCGTCATTGAAGCCTATACTACTGACGTTCAAGCTCAATCAGGCGCATAGGATAGTTGAACTCGGTTCCATCCTTAAAAGAGTATAAGAGGCCTTTGTGAACTTTTAGGACGTTGTGAATTATGTAGTGTAGGATGATGTCGATATATGATCGGACACTAACGAACATTTGATTGCCATAATAGCCTATGGCCGCACTAGGCTAGCTACGGCGTAGTGCAAGCCTGGCCGGGTAGTGCAAGGAGGTCAAAATGCGGTGGACTGGTTGCTTAATGCAATAGATCAAGATGTATTGAACGGAACCAGTACTTGGTGTGCCACTCGGCAACCTCTAATGTCGGATGCCAGGATTACTGAGTCAGCAGCTGCGTAATGCTATGTACACCAAGATTCAACTCAACCTAATACCAGAATTAGTGACCTGACGCATCTCTAGAGTGAAGGCAGAGCAACAATGCAGCTGAGACAGGTTGCTCAACAACGGAGCAAGAGAATATCAGGCGCCTGCAGCAGGACAATTGCATAAAACAGCTGGACAGGAACGTCATAAATGTTGAACTTGTTCTAAGACCGCTCAAAGGAGGCTGCTGGCAGCTCGGGACATTTTGCATGGGTTTCGACAAAAGCTACCGTATACGGACACAGGTGGTTAGGTTACCACCTTTCAGAATCTGGGAACCCATGAACCTCTGTGCAGCTTCTGTACCTACGACATAGATATAGCCGACTAGTTCTATCTGCCCCTGCTTCTTAGCTGGGAACGCCCTCTTGAACGCCAATTCCGTTACCCTCAGATTTACCTCCAATTGCTTTCGCGCTTTGCTAATACCTGCATATAGGCAATAAAAACTCTCTAAGCACACACATGGACTCACAACACTGCATGAAACACAATCGATATGGCTTCAGACTATGAAGCTGCAGATGTGGAACTCAAGAACCAACCTTAACAAGGTGCAGTGTCTCAAACAAGCCTGCCCCTTCCAAAAACAGCATTGCTTCAACTTACTCGATGGCCTACTTTTCACTTCGACTTGTTCAATCATCGTTGCTGTCCCGGTGGATCGCACACGCCCTCCTCCGTCAATCTGGAGCAGCTCCCTCAGCTCAGAACTTGCTGTTGCTGCCAGCATGGCGGTCGCGCAGCTCTGAGGTCCGCGAAGATGGTCCTCCAGCGGCAAGCGTGTGTTCATCTCAGCTGACGTCACAGCGCATTTGAGGTACTCGTCTGCAAGCTGGAAGAAAGGAAGGAACCTGCAAAAAACGACTGGAACGCTTTTCACCAGAAAGCATTTGGTGCTCCTTTCCTATCTGATCATGAGCCAGTGACAACCCTTTCAGTGCTCTTCGAGTAATGCAACACACTACACTGTGTCAGATCCACACATCTGTTTGTCAGATCCAAGTTTGTCAGATCCAAGAAGCTCTATATGTTTGATGCCGTTTCTTCACCAAGTTAGCTCTCCTGAAGTGATTGATATAAAAAGAGAGTTAACGAGCTTGTCCAGATCGATCAATGGTTGAAGCGCGCTTGCTGAAATCGACATCAGGCAATTCTCCAGTTGAACTTGCACACATCTTCATTGGTATGTCCAAGAAGACATGCCCGGGCAGATCCTTGACATAATTCTTCTCTTCAAGAATCCTTAACAGCAAAGCGCTGTGCGAGGGCAACATGCTGACCTGCCTCTTTGTCAAGTTGGCTTACAAGAAGCTGTGTGACTTTGAACTTTTCTAGAAGAACATGACACATTCCGACAACAGAACAGTGTATCGGCATTGACTCATGATTTCGAGTATGTCAGGATGCATTGGCAACCCCTTACTTCCGCAGCCGCATAAGATAAAGAGAGATTGCAGACCTACCATGTCGCGGGCTCTTGCGCTGCACAATCGTCTTTCTTCACTCTCTTTCCCTCTTTGTCAGCTTCCGCAACCTCTTCTTGATCCACCAACTTGCTTCGCGGCGTCATGACAAAGCGGCGCAGATCTTGAAGCGCCTGTCCAATCATGGAATGGTTCATTTCAACCACTCCTTTCCACATTCAGGTGGCATCTCTGGAGAGCTCTAGTGCTGCATGAGCGACCCCTCTTAAGCAGCAAGCCTGTGCCTACTGTCAGAGGGAAGTATTTGAATGGGAATTATCACATGCACTAAAGAAGGAGAACCTGAAGAAGGCCGGCCTGCCAAGGCCCCTTTCAGAATGAATGAAGTATGAGGCCTTCACAATTCCAGGCTTTTGGGCGAGCCCTCTCGTAATCATCTTGTCCACATCTTTTTAAGCTTTCCATGCTGTTGGTTAAGAAGGAGCCCCATCTAAAGAAGGACCTTACGAGCCTTTTACAAGTTGCCTATGCAGCAGGCCACAAGAGATTTCGTTACTGACATACCTGGCGCAGCTGGACTGATGATTCAAGGTCGTTCCCAGCAGTCACAAGGTCAGCCGCCAGCCTCCGCACCGTTGCAGAGCGTATCAGAATAGTTTCACCCTCAAACTGAGCCTCCAGTCGGCTGATGAAGCAGTTGAGGAAGGCGTAAATACCCTTGTGCTGCCAAGAGATCACAGAAGGACAAGATAAGCTCCAAAGGCAGGCAACTTCAGAATGCCACCAGCTAATCCTGAACAACCACAGCAATACCTCAACCCAGAGCTTCACATAGTCCTACAGCTAGGGACACGATTCTCCTAAGAATAGCTTCTGCAATTGAGGTGAAGTATGTGAACCAACTGCAGAAGAAGGTCACTATCTCAGTCAGCAATCTATAAAAAGTGTGACGAAGCTTTGATATTGAATGATTAGATACATCGGCAAGTCCGGCAAAGTGCTTGAGCCAAGCAAGCAAGCTGGAAACGGTGTGTGCATGTGAACTGACCTGCTCCAGAAGGGAATCTGTTAAATTCCTCCTTGCATCCTCCTTTGTCTTTCGCAGGGACTGTCCATCGCCGTCCTGATTCACTTGGCTGAAATATTCTGCATAATCGTCGACAGATTTCAAAGACAACGGGACTGCAAAGCCCCTCCCCTCTTCGCTCTCCACAGCATTGCGGGTCTGCTTCTCAACCATCAGGCCCTGCAGCTCTGCAACATTCTGCAAATCACCCTTAACTTGCGCAAATGATTCCTCCACACTCTTTTGGAAATTGTTGCTGTCCGTAATGAACGTCTGTACTTGATCTTCAAAGGACGAACGCTTACATTGCACGGCTGGCAATCTGCGAGCGGCTGGCAGGCTTCTGAAAACCGAGCTGGACTTCTGAAGGGAACCATACCGAATGGCTGAGCTGCCTGACAAGATCAAGGAGCTGAGCTGCCGGTCAAGCAAAGCCTTAGAGACTCTGCTTGCAGCCATGACTTCCTGCTCGTGACCAAGTTCCAGGGATTGTCCGCCTGTGAGGTAACAGCAGAAGACTGCGACCCTCCAAAGAGAGAGACTGACATTCACACCGACAAAATACACACACAAACCAAGTGAAGGTCGGTGGGCTAAGGGGTGTGTGGCATGAAGTTTGGGCCACTGCGAGAGCGCCATGTCAGACGGTCTCAGAACCCCCCCCTGGCCCAAAAGGGGGGCGATTAGGCTGGCCGGTCGAAAGGCTTCTCCCTAAGGAACAGGGATGTAGACGCCAACCGGGGGCACTACCGAGTTAGCTGTCCGAGGTGTCCAAATGCTCCAGGCCTGGGACTCGGACGTCAGCAGCGCCGTATACTACAAAGTTTAATTCAGCATTTTGCATGGTATGGCCGGTATACCCCGAGTCTTCGACAAGGCATGAGAAAGTCTGCTAGCTGTTGAAATCCCAGCACATCCAGCCGGATATACAGTCAGCAGCAGCGTGGAATATTCGAATCGAACCTGCTGGCTCCCAAACAATACCTACTGTAGGTACCTAAAAACTAAGGACAGCCAACCGGTTGAAAAGCTCGTCGAAAAGAGGGTTCCAGCCATTCGGGCTGCACCAGCATTCGGTGCTAAATGCTTGGCGCGGTCACCCCGAAGCTGTCTTTTGTCATCACCCGCAGTGGGGCTAGCAATAAAGGCGCCGGCATCGGCCGGTGTCGCGCGATTTTAAAATTGAATCGATTCTCGCGCGCGGCCGCGACGCCTTTTTTTGTATTCTGCAAGTTCCTGAAGGTTTAACGACGGTGACGTGTCCAAATGTTTTCCAAGTGACACGATCGGACGGCCAAGGTGCGTCAATGCCTCTGACTCATTGCCAGCTGTGCCAGTTGGCCCTTGTATGACGTCGGAGTGACCGTGACTTAGTGAAGGATGCGCGCGCTGCTCGCGCTCGGACGTCAATGCTTCATTTCGGACGCCAAATCAACTGCTCTATGTTAGCGATAAACCATCTGATGAGACTGACTCGATCACCTTAAGATCGAGTCAGGCTCTCGGGGGCGACCTTGGCGCGCGGGTCTTGCCGCAAGGGGGGGACACGTGGCGCTTTGTGGTTGCTCCATTTTATGCCGTTCATCAGATGGTTAGTTGGCAGGGCAAAGATTTACGAGCTTGGGAGGCTATCGTCGACTAGAGCTATGGAGATGGTCAACCGTTACTATTAGCTCCGCCGTAAAACTGGTGTTCATGTTTAATTCATGATTCCAGTCTGACATCAAGCCTCGACTCGAAAGCCTTTCACCCTCCGCATTCAATGCTGGAGCCTGCATTCATCAATGTCATCGATGATTTCGTTGTTCAATAGTTTCTGTGCAGGACAGTGAATTGCTCTCCGCCCAAAAGTTTGTTAGCAGCACTAGCACTGTGTAGCTGCTGAGCAATTGCATTCAGACGAGCAATCCTTTTCTGACCCGCTGAAGTCTTGCCCAATGTAGATTGGGAGCTGGGTTTTCTCGATGATGCTAATGTAACAATCCAATTCCTTTCTTCAAGCATTCCACGCCACTCTGTTTGCCATAGCACTCTGATGGCAGCTTCCGATATAGTCCTGATCGCCTCAGCTGTTGAATCAAACATCAGCGTTTGGGACCTGAATCTGGGAACGGAACTTGGTTCATTCAAAACCTCATCAAGTGGAAGGTGAGTTGATGAACTTTCAGAAAGCTCTCAGCTGCTGTCCAGATCTATGCCCTGTGGTGGTGCATTGTTTGGCACTTGTCCAGCTAGCAATGGCTTTGGACTGGCAGTGCCGGCGCCTGTAAGAAGTGGACACTTAGAATCATTATCTGAAGCGGCAGGTTTCAGCATGGGCTTGTCGGATGCAGAGGGCTGTGATGGGAGTGGTGGTCGAAGCAAAGATGGCCAAAAACATGCCTTGTTCACCTGAAGAGCAATGCCCCTTGAAACACGGTGGAATGTCCTGTGGGCATTAGTTTCTTTTGGGCTCAGTCTTTGCGGGCACGATTTGCAAGCTCACCGTTCTCGTATCTATGTTTGGAGACATGACGGTTCAAACTGGACTTTTGGCGCTGAAACAGTCAAGGTCCCCTGCTGAATAAAGTTCTGGGTTTGTGCAGAGGCGGGTTGACTCTTGTTGGGGACGATCACTTTGCCGCCAGCCAATTGCAGAAAGGGGGGGCTATCTTCTCCTGGACCTGGCAAAAGGTGGGGCTCTTCTGTAAGGGCTTTGGGGCTATCATTCCAGATATGATGGAGTCATCCAGGAAGCTTAGTAACAGATCATCTATGCAGCTCTCTGGAAAGGCAGATAGCCTTCTATTATGGGCCCCAATTTCCGGACCAATTCCAACATTGCGAAAACCTTGAAGCTTACTCCTTGAGCATTCCCTCACAGAAAAAGTTCTGAGTAGTCTTGCCTGGCTTGTTGCCACACTGTCTATTGGAAACTTTTTTTTGAGGTTACAGCATTCTGTTGGGGAGCCTACCTCTTCAAGAAATTTTGAGAGGCGCTCAGACCACCACATCACTTTGACAAGGTTGTGGTCCCCTCACACTGGACGGATCGAAGGTTCCCTCCAAGCGGGACAATTGCCGTTGGATAGTGGTACAATGAAATTTACATCTGCCCGTTGAACAGCATACTCAATGCCAGTCCAGTCCCTGATTCGCACAAGCATTTCGACCCGATAGTCGCAAATTTGCCATCTCATCACAGCATCCTCCTTGCTCCCTCTCTTGCAGAATGGCATCGAGCACAAGAGTTATCCGGTAGAGCAGATCACGCCCCTCGCCAGCTCCCCGGATGGAAATCTCATCGCGGGGGGGGGCGCCTCCGGCAGGCTGTATCTGTGGGAAGTATCAACGGGGAAGTTGCTGCGGTCATGGCCGGGCCACTACAAAACGGTCACGTGCCTCACCTTCTCGGATGATGGCTCGCTGCTGTTCTCGGGGGGCGAGGATGGGATCGTCAGCGTTTGGCCGCTGGTGAAGTAAGTAACGATCCCTGTTCTGAAAACCTGCATGTGAGGAATTTACTGGGGTTTGAGCAGGAGCCTATTCCAATCGTGGTCTTCTGAAGCGAAACTGTGCCACTTAAATTGCTCTGCGCAGGTTCACGGATTCAGTTCCTGGAGCCAGAGACTAGGCCCACTCCAGTGATAGTCGTTGAGAGCAAGAATGTGTTACCTACACTGGTCTGCGCAGTTCCACGGATGCTTTCGGTGATTGCACAAATTTAGGTAATATGGGGAGTCGCCTACATTTTGCTGGGCTACCCATGTCCAGATAGACAGATTGCGACTCACACTTACGATCAGGCCGCTTAAACACTCTTCCGCTTCTTCGCAGAGTCCTGAGCGGTGCTGACCTCAGCGGTGACGCTTCCCAGCGGCCACTGTACAGCTGGTCAGAGCACACGCTGCCGGTAACCGGGCTGTGGACTGGAGCGGGGGGCGCTTCCGCGGTCCTGCTTTCGTCGTCCCTGGATCACACAGTCAAGGTGAGGATGGCTCCGCTTTATCAACGCCTATGGCCTCTACGAAAAGCTTGGGCGAATGCGTGTGCACCGTCCACTTCCTCATCCGGGTTTAGCTATGTTGCTTGCCCCGCAGGATCACCTGACATCAAGATCAAAGGCAGGCGAGGATCGCTTGAACATTCTTGTTGCCAGAGCCTTGTGGGAGCACATGCCCTCTTCGACAATCTCATGATAGATTTAGCGAGCTTCTTTTTGAGATGGCTGTCGTTTCGAGCCGGTCTCGTTTTGAAAGACTTGGGTGCTATTTCGCCTTCTGTGCTGGGCTCAAGCATCCGCCAGCTCACGTCACCCTCCTTCAAAGTGCTGGAACGCTTACCCTCGTCAGAACCAACCCACTGCGCTACCGAATTGTCGTTGAGTTTGCATACTGCTGGGTTCGTTTACCCGGGTGCTTCATCGTCGTTTCTTTTGCTTTTCGGCAGTGTTCTGCTGTTCGAAGAGAGTCAGTCGATTGAGCCTTCCACCGGTAGGTCGCTATCAGACTCGTCTCTGAAGGCAAGGTATTCTGTTGTGACACTGCTTCGTTGTTGGCAACTGGTAAACAACTCTATGTATTGTATCTACGCCAAAGGGCTAGATTGTTTGCCGCCATCCTTGTGGACTGCAGGTGTTGCTCAGAGAAGTTTTCTCCTCGCTAAGCACAGCAAGATTGAGTAGATCTGATTCCTGGTTTAGGATCTGATTCTGCCCGGTTTGAGAACATTTTCCGATTGCTGCATAGCCGTTCCTGTCGCTGCTTTTCGAAACAATCCGTGTCGCGTTTCCGTGCGTCCATCCTCAATGCCAGCAAGCAAAGAAAGACTGTCTTTAATCAGTTGCTGTGACTTCTCTGTACACCCTTGCTTACGATCCGCCATAAACCTCGCGGCTCATACTACACTGTCTTTCAGATCGACCGCCAGTTTCATTCATAAGATTGGGCCGTCATTTGATTGAAGCACCTGGGTTATTTAATGGATCATCGGTTTCACAGATTCGGGGCAAGTGGCCAGATTGGTTGAACGTGCTTCAATATAACGCTCACGCTTTTCCAGATCTGGAGCGTCGCTCTCGGTTCCCTCCTCCGTTCCGTCGTCTTCCCGACCGCCCTCTACTCCATCACCGCGGATTCCGCCGAGTACTTCCTCTACGCCGGCGGCAGCGACGGTCGAATCTTCGCGCTCTCGTTGCAAGGCAGCGGCTCGTTCGACGACGAAACCGGGGCCGACGGCGTGCTGATGGGGCACTCCTTGGCGGTGACGTCACTCGCGGTGTCGTCGGACGGCGCGACGCTGGTGTCCGGGTCCGAGGACGGGACCGCGCGGGCGTGGGATGTGAATGGGCGCCAGCAGCTGCGGACGCTGCAGCACGGCAAAGGTGCGTGCCGATTTTCACACCACTGACTCTTTCGTTCATACTCTGCAATGTTCTCCCTGCTGGTTGGCGCGTATTCTGCTCAAAAGAGACGTTGTGGAGACGTCTTTGCCGGAGCGCCCGCTGCTAAAAGTATTCTGGTGGCGTCTGCTTGGAAGTGCCTGCCTTTCAGGAGAAACATCTATGTGGGATTTGACGCGACAAGGTGTTGTTGAAGTGCTCTGCAATGTGAACACGTCCGTTCCGGTCCTCTGTTCCTTGTGCTCCTGCTCGCGAATCCGTGTAGCCTTGACCGTTGCACGGACTTATTACAATACAACCAAGGTGGTGCATTTAATAAGTATCTCGCCAACAGACCCGCTTCGTCTAGGCAGTCTCAACAAATCTCTACGCCAGATTGAAGACTGAGCAATCGCATCAAACTCGTGCAGGCCCGGTGACGAACGTGCTCGTTCTGCTCAAGCCCCCAAACCTCTTCTCGGCCGACAACCGGAAGCGGCCCCTGCACCCCTTTGCCGCGCTCCGAAAGTACCCCGGGGCTGATCAGACCACCCCGGGCGATTCGCCGTGGGAAGGCCCGCTGGTCATCCTGCCCGGTTCGGAACCCCGACCGGAGGCTGGGAGCTACGGGACTCGAGCGCTAGCCCGCCTGGCGGCCAGTATGCAGGTAGGGATGGTGTTCGCGGGCTCGGATCCTGATCGTGGTCCTGCAATGGCAAAAAGGCTGTTTGGTAGGATGATATAGATGGGGGTGCAAATCCGTGTTTGTGCAGCTGAGTGTGCGACTGAGAGCGATGCCGGCAGATCGAAGAGATGACGGCGGCATTGGTTTTTGCGTTGCTCAACTGCACAAACTGTTTCCGGGATGGGTCTTTCATTTCTTGCGGTAGCTCGCTGGGGCACACGAGAAACAGCCGTCTTTTGCACCAAGTCTCACTGATGCAACCTTTTCGCTCTCTTTGAGCATTTTAGTCCACTTCGTGGGTTCTATGCACGCACAGCCCATATGCAATGAAGAGCATCAAGCTGACGCGCATCTCCTCCCCGTGTGCAGCAAAACCAGGCTCTCGTGACGGCACATGAAGAGCGCAGCCGGCTCCTCTCTCAGGTCGAGGAGAGCAATAGGAAGGCCGCCGAGTGGCAGGCACTTCATAAAGAGCTCTACATGTTCGCAGTGAACGATTTGATAGACAAGAAGGACAAGGAGCCCGGCGTCGGATGATATGGCGGCGCCGTTGCTAGGAAATTCAGCTACATGCTGATACGTCTTTACTCGTTCTAGGCCTTATTTTTGATCAGAGAACATTGCTACTTTGGGCTGATCAATCTATGTCGCGGCTGTCCGGCCATGCTGCGCTAGCAGGAGTTGGCACATCATCAAGTCCCATGTATTGCAAATGGCTTGAGGGTATGCATTGTATCGTTAAAGCAAGCTGTAACTGTTTGGCGGAGCCAACATGATGTGCGCAGGCCTTGACGGTGCAGACGTCCCGTCCACACATGTAAGTAGAGCTGTCAGCAGATCCCAATGTTGGAACACAAATGAACTGGCTCGCGAAGCATCTTTGCATTACTAGCTCAGGCTGCCAGGCGTGAATCCTGCCACGTGTTGCCAGTGATCTCGCGGGATCCCCCTGGCGACTTCACTTCCTGAGTCGACATGCCAAATTGGGTTTTGAGTCCGAACGCCAAAACGTTTCCGGAAATCCTGGCTTGAAGACTTGCCCCCAGTCGCCGCGTGCAATCGCCAGTAACGTTTACGGGTTCCGTGTAGCCTGAGTCGACGAATGCACGACACACGTGATCGGGAAAACATGGGCTGAAGCTGTATCAAACTCGATTGATGCGGGCCATGTGCCTCGTGTTTTGGGGCGGCAGAAATGCGAAGCATCCTGCTTTCTACTACAAGGTGCGCTTCCAAGCAGCCCAGGGAGCACTATTGAAGGGTCCCATGTGGAAGCATTTGCAAGATCGCCAGACAGGCTCTGAGAAGCCCCAAGTGACTGCTGCGAGGATCGCCAAGTCGCGGCTGCTCGCATTGGATCTGTCCACAAGCAAAGAGATCTCCAGCGGCCACAGGAGTGGTGTCACCAGCCTGCAGGTGGACAATACAGAGCAGCGGTAGTGAGTATGCTTTTGAGTCGTTGTTTGCTGATTGAGATGGTTTTGCGAGTAATAGGTGGTCTGGCTTGGGCTCAGAGTCATGCATTGGGCGAGGAAGCTTTGGAGGTTTTGTGGTGGAACAACGGAGGGGTAGTGCATGCATGCAGGTCCTCAAACCACGGTTCTACATAGGACCACCGTCTTCGTATTGAGGAAAAGACAGCTAGCGCGTTGTGATCTACCAGTCTACAACGTGGAAGAGTGGCATGATAACTTGGAGAAATGCATTTAAGCTCTCGTTCGGCTGTGGGAGAATCGGTCACTCTTGCCAATGCTGCTCTGTTTGAGGTCTTCCCAACCTCACTTTGCAGGCACTTTACCAACCTTTTTACCATCAACCTGTTTAGGGTAATCTCGAGTATGATTTATCCACGCTCTTCTGGTTTTTGTGTTGATATAGACACAGTGCTCATGAACCCTTCTGTTTTCCCCCTTCTTCACCCTGGTTAATTCCTGCTGCAGTTTGCTATCGGGGGCCTCGGACGGTTCGCTCGCTGTCCATGACACTCAGGTCCCCACCAAGTATGAACAAGATGGCACCGCAGTTCATGAACGCCTGTTCAAAATTGACAAGTGAGCGATGCTCTGCTCTTGCGCCCTCTCATTTGGTAGATTCGAGCTTTCACAAAGGAATGCTCTTGAATGCTCTCAGCCCACTCATTGCAATGCTTGATGCAGCAACGTTGTTCTTTGCAAGGTCGAGTGTGAATTGTTGCGACCACACTCGAAGATGTAGTTAAAGCTTAGACAGGGTGCCCAGCTAGGCAGACGCTGTTGGTTCTTTCTGATTCTTGACATTCTGCGGACTGGCTGATCTGCTTACTGTATCCAGCTTGAGACCATGACTTCATTTGCTTGTCTTGCACGTTCGTGGGGGCTGCGAGGCTACCATCGGTGAACAGATACACTGTAGTGAAGTGCACCTTTCCTTCAGACTTCATAAAGCTCAGTTGGAGATTGACGATTCAAAATGTAGTTGCTCTTCAACACAAGTGCGTGGTAACTCATTCTTTATGACTGACCGAAACTGACAAGTTGTTTGAATACCTCAGGAAGAGTAGATTGATACTTTACCCACCCTTCTGGATTGAGCAAATATTGCCTCGACGCCAAACCACCCACTTTATTTGGAGCTTCAGGTGCTATCAAGAACGATGGGTTCAACTTTATGGCAGCTTCTTTCATGTTGTCCCGTCGACCAAAGGAGCTGCTCCCTCTTTTTGAGTTTCTGCAAACGCTCAAGAAAGGCGGTGCGCTTCTTTCTGAGCAGGAGGACGGAGGGAGCCCACCAGTACGCCGTCTCGTCCGTTTCATGGTACCCAATTGATACTGGCCTCTTCGTGTCGGGCTCGTTTGACGACACGGTCAAATGCTGGGATACGAACACGTTGCAGGTGAGAGCTTGCCACGCCTTCTTGGCACCAGTTTCTGGAAACCATTTGCTTTGGAGCTTGAAGAACAAGCATACTCTGTGTCTAGATCTCGACATTTTTGCGTAATAAAACCGCTGAGGTCACGCTGCGGGGATTCCTATCCTCCCCTTGTTGGAGTTAGGCGGGCACTGCTTCACTACCCTAGACAACCCTTGAGCCTCCTGATTTCTCTACAGGGTATCTCCTTAACGCCTTACAAGGGTGACATTCTGCCGTTGGCATCTGAATCCACATTCAACGGTTTTGCCTAAGCATTCTAGGCAGCTGTTGTTTTATGATTGGGCCCTTGTGGCTTGGTGTATCTTCAAATGGTCACGCAAACGGAGCAGCGATCTGAGCTGCAACATATCCTGGAAGAATGTCTGATGGATCCTACCCGTACAATTTCTCTTGCTGATACCCCCTCACCTGGTGTCATGAAGGTCATTCTAGCAACTACCTCCACTTCTTTTTCCTGCGGTCTTATACTTTTGATCTTCTTGGCGCAACCCAATACTAAGCTAGGATGGTTTTCCAGGTGGAGATGACGTTCAGTCTTCCCGCCAAGGTATTTGCCGTCGCCATGTCTCCAGTCGCTGTCACCCACACTCTCATAGCTGGTGAGCTATCACGCCAGAGGCAGAACTTTACTTCATAGAGTCTGCTCTTGGGCTGCCGTGAACTGTTGCGAAAAAACGACTAGCGAATTGTTCGGGACCTTCTCGCGATTGTGACAAAGAAGCAAGCCATCTGCTTTTCTTTGCTGGACCGTGTGAATAAGGAAAAAGCCCGACAGGTTTGACTTCTTGAGTCTGTTCTGCCTTCATGACAAATTTCCAGCCTGATATCGGTCAAGGAGTAGTGTGAATCTGTTCAGCTTACAATCTGGTTTTGAGAGTCATTTGGAGCGATGGGCAAAAGCGAAGAGATGGTTAGGTGCACCAGTTGCCTTTTCAAGCAGGCTCGCTTCCATGAAAGGGTTCAAGACTTAGCTGTCCTCTTCTCCTCGTTTCGTCTTTGTCGGCCGTCTGAAGTTTGCGGTATTCTGCCAGAGCCCGTGGTTTTCAGTGCTCACTAGCATCACTCACGCCCCGTCATAGAACGCCTCGCTTTGGCTGCCAACTGTTCAGACATGCGTTTTGCGTTTTTGGGCCGTTTTGCAACACCATCCTCATATCAAAAGGTCCCAGCGTTTCTCATACTCGGCGCCACATAGAGTGTAATACCAGCGCAAACTTTCTTTTTCCTTTCCGTCAAATCGTCGGGGTCCTACGCGATTGCGTCGTGCATTGTTTCATTACAATCATCAAAGTATCTAAAATGATGCGACGAAGCCTGCTACGACAAGCGATTGGGATGCTCAACCAAGTGCCTTATCGACGAGGTCAGGGCTCCAGACCCTTGTGGGAATACCAGGAATGCGGTCCTGAAAGCATTGCATGAAAGGAAGCGATTGGCACAGAAAAGGCGAATAAGCAGGGGATGAAAGCCGTCATTATGTGCAGTTGGCAGCGGTGACACCCGGGTCCGCCTGTGTGACGTCAGCAGCGGCGGCTTCGCACACAGCCTGGCGGGCCACCGGGACGCGGTCTGGGCGGTCACGTGGTCGCTCTCCAGCGAGTTCGTGCTCATGACGGGGGGGTGCGACGGCGCCATCCGCTTCTGGGACATCCGGCGGTGAGCGCGGAGACTTTTGGGCCCCTTCACGTGGGGGATCAGACTTTCAGGCCCCTTTATCTGGAAGAATCAGACTTTCGGGGCCCCTTATTTGGAACAATTATACTTTTGGGCGTCCTTTTTTGGAAGAATCACACTTTCGGCCCCCTTAATCTGGGAAATCCGGACTTTTGGGCCCCTTCATGTGGAGGATCAGATGTTGCAGCTCCTATCTGCACGCTCCAATTCTGAAGCTCGAGAATTGCGTGTTTGGCTTTACTGTCCCAGGTCAGAACCTTCTCTGCCCACGTCCCGATCGAGCCAACTGAGCGTCCAGTCGAGGTATATTTCAGCATCCATTCGGAAGTAAATTTCAGCATCCATTCGAGATAAAGTTTACAGTATCCATTCAAGGTATAGTTCAGCATCCAATCGAAGTATATATAATGAAGCTATTGCGAAGTATATTTCAGCATCAATACGAAATATTTTGTCTTATTAGGGAGCCGAAGAGAATGACTACTCCCATCTCTCTTGTGCAGTGCGGGCTGCTTCAAGGTGTTGGACCAGCACAAGACCCAGATGGGGCGGCGGCCGCCCCCTCGACCACAGGACACGCGTACGGATCCACCGAACGCTCTTCAACAGCGGGAAGGTGAGACTGAACAGCTTTTGTAAGACGGCGTCATACTGCAAGTTTGCGCGAAAGTGGTTGCCGGGTCCCGCGTCCAACCTGGGCCGGTTCCACAGTCTGGGTCGTCCGATGGCCGCGTTCGAGTAATCGAACGGCCTGATTTCGGCGACCGATTTGCTCCAGGTGGCTATTTTGGCCAACTTCGTTGGTTGGTGGGCTGGTTCTTTTTGGTCTACAGTAGTGCTCTTGCGAATGTCTGCCCAAAATTGCTATCAGGCAGCTTTGTGGTTTGGCCCGTGATAGACTGTCTGTTGGCGACTGCTCTGCCACCGTGAAGTTAGTTTCGGGAAGTGCTCGGCTGTTGCTTTCATTTCAGTCAGCAGCAATAAGATGCTTGCCGTTTGGCTTTCTGGCTGCCCAGAGATGAGCCTTCTGGAAGCCCCTGAGAGTCGCACGATGTACGAGACGCTCTCAGACGCACGAAGAAAGCGTCCCTGCAGATTGAGTTCAGTCCTCGGGGCTCTGCCTGTGTTCTGGGCTGGTTTTACCGCAGAAGTAGCAAAAGAAAGACCCTTCAGGTCTTGTTGCAAAAAAAGGCAGCTGGTGTCTTATGACGCAGCGAGTTTTGGCGCGTAGTATCCCCTTGTTGGGTCGTGAGGTCTCTCCGTGTTTGCACCCCGAGGCCCGAGGCGGAAAGCTCCCGACCGACCGCTGCGCCAACCTTCCATCATCGCAACATTGCAAATCCTCGCAAAGCCTTCTACAGTAGAGTGGCTCGAACAAAACCGTTTCTGCCATTACGTTCGCGGTCTTGAAAATTTGTTTTTACGTGCTAGCGAAGCCAGTCTACACCAACCTTCCATCATCGCAACTTCGCCTGTTTCTAGCACAGCCTTCCACAGTGGACTGGCCCGAACCGAATCATTCTTGCCAGTCCGTTAGCGGTTTCCAATTCTCAGTTCTGTGCGCTCAAGCGAAGCCAGTGTGCCTGACGCAGGTCGGGGTCCGAAGCGAAGAGGCGCCCCCGACCGGCCGCAGCTGCTGCACCCGGGGATGGCGTCAGCGCTGGACCGCACGTCAGCGCATGACGCCCCTGTGACGTCACTGCAGGGCACGCCGGACGGGCAGTACCTGTTCAGCACAGGTGCGTGGGGGTTCCGAGACCGATCGTGAGTGCTCAGCTTAAGTAGGAATGCGCCTTCGTCGGAGCGAGAAAGAAATTGCGTTTGCGGTTTTTTGTTAGCCACAGAAGTCTCAGGAGCCGCTCGGAAAGGTCTGCGGTCTGAGATGCCTTTCCGGCAGTCGCGCACGTTGTGGAGCCGACTCACTTGTTGGAGACTGCTGAGCGTTTTTGATGGCTTTTGAAGACCAAGATCGAAGGCTCGAATCCATTAAGATAGGTTCAAGAATCTGGAAAATGGTTCTGCAGCACTTTTCGTTGCAGTAGAGAGCTTTCGTCTTTGTTGAAAAGGTCACGCAGCGAAGATGCGACGGGCAAGACGCGAAAAACACCTGCCAAATCCGAAAGAGGTTATAACTGGCACAATTGCTGGCGAGTGGCCCCGGGCATGATATTCTGCTTCCAAGTTCCAACCAGTGTGACCCGGCGGCCAATGTTCTGTCAATGGAGCGACACCAAATGTTGAAGTTGCAACAACATGAAAAGCGGCCTGATTCTGCTCAAGAAGTAGGGTGCTTTCCGCGCAAGCTTTCCAATGTCACCTTACTCCTAGCCTCATATCAAGATCACCTCAATGCCGTTCACGATTCTGCAGACCCAAACGCATGTTTATACTACTTTCTGAGACATTCTTCTGGTCCTCGCAAGCGACTGCTTGAGCTTCGGAGGGCACTTCAGAAGAAAAGCTGCGAGACCTGTTTGATTCTGAGCTTTTTCCTCCTCCCAGGTGCCGACTCCCGTTTGCGACTGTGGGACATTGAGACCGGGAACAACACTCTGGTAAATTACCGGACGACCCGGGGCAAAGCCAACAGGGGCACACAGATCGCCGTCTCTCCGGACAGCAGCCACGTGTACCAACCGTCCGGCAGCGTCATCCAGGTCCGCACCCCGTCCGCACTCATCTATCATGATTGTGGATTCCGCAAGCGTGGTGATAAGATAGACTTCTCGCCCGTTAATTTGCATCCTATGGAATGGATTGGCAGTATTTTCGGGTTCTGCTGTTTTTGTCTCTGTATGCTTATCCTGTCTCGACCAGTTTTTTAAGAACGGCAATCGCCGGGGCTCGATGATCGATAGGAGGGACCCCTGGCGTAAGCTTGGGCTATAGGTCTGGGAGTTGACAAGTTTTTCGTCCTTAAGTCCGAGGAGGACTGGGGGGGTATTCACAGAGCTCCACGACGTTAGCAGAGGAAGGAATGAAAGTGACGACGGCACTGTCGCAAGTCATGTCGTTGGATCTGGGTTTCGGCCGTTTGATGGCCTTCCTTATAGTCAATGAAGTCCCCAACCTAGTGTCGTCACAAACGGCTGCGTTCCTTCTCTTTTGTGATACATGCCGGCCCTCCTCACTACAAGGGTCTGAAATGGTCGTCCCGGCAGCTGGTTCTTCCTTTTTGACCCAGTGCCTCCCGCTCTCTTTTCTGGGAGCATATTTCGCATGGCAAAGTGGTTTTGAGGTTAGGGAGCGCATGCGGGTTCCGTCAGCCATGCCACTTATCCTGCTCTTCATTGTCAAAAAGCTTTCCTTTTTGTTGCCCTTATTCGCTGATTCCTTCTTGATACGTCGCGAAGAATGTCGCAGGGGGGGCACTGCGCCTCGTTGCTCTCCCTGCAAACGCGCCTTCTACCGACGACAATCATGCATGCCTTTTCCAACTGGTTTTTGCTCTTCTCGATCGCGCAGGCGTTCGACGTATGGTCCGGGGAGCCGCACGCCACGCTCCGGGGCCACTTCGAGGGGGTAAATTGCTGCACCTTCCAGGCACATGATCAGGTGGGATCATCGTAACCGTTCAGAGACTTATGGTGAAATAGACGCTTGTGTATCATCCACATTGGTCAACAGAGATGTTCTGGTCACAGAGAACGAGCCAGTTCGCAGAAACGGTTCTTTCCGCGGGCTGCTGTTCTCCCTCTTTCTCGACGAGGTATCCCCCTCTCTTTGGGTTTGGCGGAGCGGATCTGGAGCACAATTGCCAACCAGTGCGTGTTGGCCGCCGTATTTGGTTATGCAAGAAGGCTGAACTGTGCGACCGGTGATTGATGTTTTGAGTAAGCCAGTGACAAAAGGACAGGATAGCCTTTCCGAAGAGACAAGACCTAGAACTGGGTGCTCTTTTCAGTAAGCCCAGTTAAGGTGGATTGAGATGCCTTTAGGTCATTCCGTCATTTGTGACAGTTCAGCGATCGAGGATGCTAAGTTGCACCGTTATGGAACGCGAATTGATACACCTTGCCTTGGCATCGGCTGTCTAACATCCCATGCAGTACAAGGAATGCTGCAGAGTGTGTTCAGCATTTCCCATTTTTGTATGTGAAATTCTCGTTATGACACCCTGGTTTCTTGCAGGAAATGTACAGCGGGGGCAACGATCGTCAGATCTTAGTTTGGGAGCCTCCCGCACCCGCAAAGGCAAGTTTCCCACCCCCTCTCTGATGCCTTTACTGGTTTCTCAAGCAAGGTGTCTGCACATCTTGTCCATGTACATGTGTACTCGATACGTGGAGTCAATGAGAACAGCGATGTCTGTGCATATTGGGGGTTTGACCAGAAGCAGGAGCAACCTGTGGGTCACTTAAATGTTACATGCAAACGACAGGAACGTTAGTATCATAGCGGACGTAGGAGAGAGGATCTTGCTAGTCATTGTTGTCTGTCCTGTTTCATCGAATGCAGAACTTGTCGGGTTTGTGTAATACTTCAGACATTTGCCTTGCAGGTCCTTGAAGATGAGCACGCAGATCAAGATAATTGGAGCGATGATGAAGGGAAGCTTGACTATGGCTTCCCATAGGCAGCCTTTGCTTAGTTGAGCTGTTTATCACGTTATAATGAACCAGTCCGGGAGAAGCAATTACAGCGAGAGAGAGTAGATAGCAGGGCCAGTCAGTCTTACATTCTGCTTGAGGTTGATCATCAAAGCCTATGCTGTTGGCCGGTACTACATCCTTGCAATTCTGTTGAGGGCTGGATACCGTGCGAGGATGCATGACATTGCATGTATCAGTCTGAATGGCCCCATGCTAACTGACTTCAAATAGACAACCCATGCAGTCTTTGATGAGTCATTTAGCTTACTCTGCCAAATCCGCAACATGTCTGCCTAAGAGAGCATGTGCCCTTCAACCTTGTGCACTATTTGTTGAACTTCACCAGAAACAATAGAAGTAAGTGCCGCTCTGTGCTGGAACCATTGCTCTACGTACCTCATGTCTAGCTACGAATTAGTGTTGGAAGGTTTCAGCCACCTGAAACACCTAGCTACCAGTCTCTATTTGAAGAAAAGTGCATGTCTCTGCTGAAAGCACAGGCTGCTGCTATTGCCTCTAGCATCTTTTCCAAGCACAAGCTGAGACCTTGAATTGTTTCAGACACAGCATTATGCAATGAAGTGAGACAGCCAACTCAGAAGAGATCCAGATAGGAGGAGCGGATATTTCTTGGCGATTGGTGGTGTTAGAAAACACCAGTTTGGTTGAGCTGCCGGAGTGGCAGTTGCTGGCGGAGCGCTTAACCTCCGAACCCGTACAGGGTTCTCCCCTGCCTCTTCAGGGCATAAACGACGTCGAATCTGCAGACAGAAGCAAAGACATGAGCTTGTTGCTCTAGCTGTCGCCTTCATGTTGCTCTCAGACAGACAAACTGAGAACTTGCAACCCCAGATCTGATGCAACTCACTGGGTGCAGAAGGAAGGCAAGAGCTGTGAGCAGCATCAACCAGTTGATGTACTTACGCTGTCACAGTCTTGCGGCGGGCATGCTCCGTGTAGGTGACCGCATCACGAATGACGTTCTCCAGGAAGACCTTGAGGACACCGCGGGTCTCCTCATAGATGAGGCCACTGATGCGCTTGACTCCACCCCTTCTTGCCAGACGCCTGATGGCGGGCTTGGTGATGCCCTGGATGTTATCCCTAAGGACCTTCCTGTGCCTCTTGGCACCTCCCTTTCCCAGTCCCTTTCCTCCCTTGCCGCGTCCAGACATGGTTGCTGGTTGGTTGCTGAAGAGCTGAGGATGCTTGATTGGTTGCTGGTGAGCGTTTGAAAAGCAGATGTTTGAAATGGCGGCTGGCTCCCTGCTTTATAGCGCAGGGCAGGGGTACGTGTCAAAGGAAGATGGAGGCGAAGGGAAGCTTGAAGAGTTCAAAGGCTAGGGCGAAGTCACAGCTAGCGGTGCACTCGCTAGAGGTGCTCTTGGCAGTCTGCTCCATACGACGGCAACTGGGTTCACAACTTCGAAGTTCGAATCTCAATCCTGGAAGTCCCGGAAACTGTTTCTTGGTCCCTGATTGGTCGAATGTCTTTCTTCATCGCCGCAGCCAACCAAATTGCAGAACTTCAAAACACAGCTTTTAAGTTACCAAGGCCGTTCGATAAGTCAGGGACTGTGTCTGCTCGTACGATAACTAGTGTGCTCTATCCGACGGTGCACACGCCCTCGCGGTGACGGAACCGATTTCAAATCTCGAGGCCCAATTCAAACGGGATGCCGAAGAGGCCTTGTTTTGGCCAAAGTGGTTCTGTATGCCGCGGAATCGCCAGCCTGCAAGATTGACTCTGTGCAGTTTCGGGCCCTCCAGCCTTTCAACAGTCATGACTTTCAAGGCTGGTCGTTGAACATTTCAGCCCTAGCTAGCGCAGACTGGCTCCAGACTTGGCTTCCGCGCTCCTGCCTCCCAGACCTATAAAGCTCTCCTCGTCCGTCATTTTCAGCATCTGTTGTTTCAGCAATCACCACCTTCAACATTCTCTCAGTCTCCTAGCTCTCCAGCTCTCAGTTCCCTACCAGTAGCCATGGCCCGTACCAAGCAGACCGCTCGCAAGTCCACTGGAGGCAAGGCCCCCAGGAAGCAGCTGGCCACCAAGGCCGCCAGGAAGAGTGCTCCCGCTACCGGTGAGACAGCAGTCCTTGCCTCTCGAAGCAATCCTGCAGGTGTTCAGAAGCACTTTGAAGGTTCAGCAAGGGTTTGCTTGCTGTAGCTTCGGGAGTCCTGCATACAAAAGGCTTGAGGTTCTGGAAGGGGGTCTTCAGACATTAGCAGTTACTCTTGAAGGAGCCATCTGATTGAGTAATCAGGACTCAGGAGTTCTTCGCAGCACTTTGCCGTTGCCTTGCATGACTCCCATCTGCCATTGGCTTCATCATACTGATTGCGATGCTTGCTTGTCACAATAGGTGGAGTGAAGAAGCCTCACCGCTACCGCCCTGGCACCGTCGCTCTCCGCGAGATCAGGAAGTACCAGAAGAGCACTGAGCTGCTCATCCGCAAGCTGCCCTTCCAGCGCCTTGTCAGGTAAGTGCAAGTCCCTTGCCTGTCTCTGCTTTCATGATGAGAAGCATCTGCTGCCATCTGGCATGAGTTCAAACCCCAGTACTCTTGTCTATACTTTTGTCTCACAGAACACTCTCAGCTTTATCATTGTTCTTTTGCTAATGCCGTTGCTCTTATGCAAGTGTCTGTGCCTGGTACTCAACCTCAGCTCCTTTTGCCATGCAGGGAAATCGCACAGGATTTCAAGACGGACCTGCGCTTCCAGAGCAACGCCGTCCTTGCCCTGCAGGAGGCCTCTGAGGCGTACCTGGTCGGTCTCTTTGAGGACACCAACTTGGCTGCAATCCACGCCAAGGTCAGCGCCCCCTCGCCCTGCTCTAATCAGGCTCTTATATACTTCATAAGCTCAGGTCCAATTGGTGACATGCAACTATGTGCAGGGGAGCAATTATGATTACATGTTTTTCTTGTTGAGTGCTACTCAAGTGGTTCTAGCTGCAACCAGGCTGAGCATCCATTTTCTGTCTGCAGAGGGTGACCATCTTCCCCAAGGATATCCAGCTGGCCCGCCGCATCCGTGGCGAGAGGGCGTAAGCAGCCCCAGCAAAGCAGGAGGAGCGCAGCTTGCTGGCTCCCTACCAACCAAACTGGTGTTTTCTAACACCACCCATATCTTGAAAGTTTCCTCTTGGACCTGTCCTTTTTTGACAGCCGTCCTGTCCTTTCTTGGATTTTTGAACCTTCGGCAGCTGGTGCTTGGTGACATTCAGCTGAATTCTCTATCTTCTTGAACCAGAGTTGCTGACCTGCTCACTTGATTGTTGTAACATTCTTGTGAAGGATATCTGGTCATTACTTTCTTGTTGGCCTAGGTGGAGGAGATGAGTCCTCCAGTGTGACTTGCATGGTACGGGGATAGCTTTTCTTGAAGCCCATAGCTGCAGCAAGGAGCCTCAGATCACTACCTGGCTGAACCCCTGCTTGAGGATGGTAGACATACTCCGGAAAGATACATGTGGACTTTAATCCACTTGTTCCAATGAGCAGCTAGCATTTGGTAGCTGTACCCTTGCAATAGCCCCCAAGTCCTGCTCGCCTAGCTGCCCCTGAAGTGATATTGAGCCACGCCTCTCGTCGTCAGATGAACACTGAATATGCAGGTTGAGCTACCGGTAGCGGTAGTTCAGTGATTTTCTAGACGAGGGACTGCAAGACATTCTTTCATACCAAAGGTGCATGATTCTACGGTATGATTGAATTGAAGGCCCAAGCTCCTGATGATCGTCAAGTTGGTGGTTTTTAGGACCTCGAAGCTGCATACCGGTAACCTACCGGCAGATTATTGAAAAGCATTATGTGCCTAGGAACGTACAGGGAGGCATAACCATTGCATTCAGCATTCATGGCACCAAGATTTGGACGATCATGACAATGCATGCAGTGGCACACTTCGCGAGGCCGCTGTCGACCCACACGCAAGATGTGCTGCATACATGTCTTGCGCATGCAGAGTTCTACCGTACTGCCAACCGAATAATCACAGTGGATCCGCCACAAGTAACACATGTATAAGACGTCAATGCCTCGATAATGGGTACTCTACAAAGACGGAGGCGCTCCTCGCACAAGCTGCTGTATGTACATAGGTAATGAACACTCACTCCGACGAGGTAGCCATAGATGCGCCATATACATGTCTCAACCTTCATATGCACATGACAACTCTCGGATTTGAAGAGCTCATACTTTCTGACCGGACATGGTCGGAGCGCCAGTTGAACGTCCGCTTCAACACTGGGTAGCTCACATTTCAGGTTCTCTTACGCAGCCATCTCTCAATCATCGCGTTGCTTGGCTGCAGATTTACCTCTAGGAAACAATAGGCTCGGCACAAATCAAGTGCTTGGGCTACGCTAATCTAGACAGAGCTGCCCACGTCGTCAATCACTATGGAGGCCGGGGATGTTACGAAGCTGGAGGGAACGGGGCCGCCTGGATGAAGCTGGGAGTCTGCTCGGCTGCCCCATCTTGGCAGCCCCAATTAGTTGGTGACAGGCTCGCCGCACGAATCTGCGCAACCAAGGAGTCGTCCTTTAAGCTCTTGTGAGAAAGTGATAAGAAAGCACGATGTTACTTTCGAAAGAGCCTTGGTGAAAGGGCGGGTAGCAAGTGCCCCTGCCAACAGCAGTCCTTTTACAGGGACAGAATGTCGTTGTGAGACAGATTCGCCTGCGGGGAACCAACCTGCGGTCTTCGATTGGCATGCAAAGAAGCATCTGGACGACAAGCAACCCATGTCCTGGAGTGGCCTGGAAGCTTTTCCGCCCACCAAAGCCAAAAAAGTCATTTGCTTTGTGGAAGCTCCTCAAGGTTGTGAAAGACGAGAGGCTGTGAAACACGAGAGGCGGAGACATTCTAAATTTTGACAGCCGACAAAAGTTCAAAAGAACGGACAGCAAGCCGGATTCGTACCCAACGATGTGCGTTCTTTGTGACAGCGATACCTCTGCTTACCAAACGCACCCAGATCTGCTGACCGGCATCGAAACTGCGGTCGAGTCTGTGATGTCGCAAGGATCAACATTCCTCTCTTTTTGCGCTTGCAGTTGATCGCTTTCAGAACGTCACATCCGATCGAGCCCACAAAGCTGACAGAACCGATTATCTAATAGAAAACCTTCTAAAAGAGTAGCTCAGACGACTGCCTCCATTCCTTCCGTGCCGCTTATGCTGAGCTACGGTCAAGTTCGCTTGAGAGACAGGCAAAGCAGGACCGTGAGCAGCCTTTTGAGTCCGTCACGAGAGACAGCACGAACACAAAACGCGAGCAGAAAAACTCTGCCAGATATGAACATTTCACTTCAAGCCAAGAGCGATCCGGCTTTGAGAACCTTTTGTGCGCCGGGAAACGCAGACTCTGTGAAGTAAGCATGTGGTCCGAGAAACGTAGATCTCCATTGAAGAAGCAGATTGCCTTACAGATGCCAGAGGCCCATCGCGCTACGCATATTCCAAGCAACAAGGGAGAGACCAGTCACCTATATGCAAGGAATGGTAGCATCCAGGTGTTCACCCATGGCCACAAGGCTGGAAACGCAGAGCCTGGTCGAAAAGATATTCCGACAGTTTGGAAACTTTCTCGATGTTCTGAAAGCAATAAACTATCCAGGCGAAAAGAGCGGCGAGGGACAATGATATGGGCCACCCCCTTCGTGCAAGAAATGAAATCCAAACGGGATTTTTGAATGCACTATGTGGACAAAGTAAAACCTTGGGAGTAGTATCCTCGCAACCAGGCAGAGTTATGAGGGGTATGTTGCAGCCACAATCAGAAAAGAGGTTCTGTGACAGAGAATGGATGCAACAATCGATGACCTTCCAAGGGACATATGCTTTGCCAGTTTCTTGCAAATTAGTGCTGACACACTCGGCAGGACAGTGAGTCCCAGACCGGCAAAGCGCGGGCTAGCAAACCGAAGGTAAGTGGTGTACTGGATATTGTTTCGGTTGCCTCGCATCTGTAATGTCAGAAGCGGTCCATGTCTTGTGACAGAGTGGCCGGTGACTCCGTAGTGTGACTCTGTGAAACATTTTTGCATGCATTTGAGTTTGAACATCATCACCCCTTCAAGCTGAGACAGTAACTTTCTCCGTTTGAGAACAGAAAGGAGCAAGACACACGGGCAGCTGACTGATCAGAAGAACAAGGGGCGACAGTATGGCCGGATCCTTACTGGCGGCTCGAGAAGGTCCCAGACTTTTGGACGTTCAATGTCGCACTGAAGACAACACCATCCAGCTCAACGACAACATTGAATATTCTGAGGATTCAGTAACCAGCGCCACCCTTTGATTGACAATGCTCATTGAAATTTCCACTGGGAATCGCCTCCCTCTGAAAACCTCAAGGCAATCAATCGTCAGTACTCAAGCGTCGCTCATCTAAGTGGGCTCCCTAAAGACAGGCTTCAAGAGCCCACGATATTTTCCCAGACTGTGACGCACAGATTGTGCAACCGCGTGTTCTTGTTTTGAAAGCTTCAGCTCGTTCAGAAGGCACTAGGAGGGCTGTGCATTACCCGTGCACAAGTTTTAAGACGTATGGTCTCCAGTTCCTGAAGGCAGCCACCAATGTGGGCGTGAAAAGCATCAGAGGGGAGCCCACAAGAGCCCACATTGGAAAAGAGCCGACCTTGCCACCACTTCGTGAAGTATGCTAGACCACACTGAGCCCCAAGACCCCAGTCACACGGGCAACAGACGGCGGCAAAGCACCGCACCTGCCCCCACCTTCATCCTTGCGAGACTTGACTGTGGCATTGATGAGCATCAAAATCTACCCAGCCACTGACAAAAAGAAAGAAGCCGAGAGAAGAAATGCATTGGCCTCCACCATGATCCTTTCTTCAGTCCAAATGTGGCCTTGATGCGACGCTGAGTTTTACCCACTCCTTAGGACAAAGAGACAAGCAGACAGAGTGATGCACCAGCTCCCACCTTCGGTTTGGTAGTGGCATGGATCTGAGCCTATACTTTACCCAGCGGCGACAGCGCAAACAGACGGGATGAATCGCCCACATTCCTTCCCCGGACATGAAACAGATCCACCAAATCAGCACTGCTGAAGAACGAGCGTCAAACACCACAGCACCTCACCGTCATCCCCCTCCCACTTTCGATGTGGCGTCAATCATCGCCCCGCTTTTCATCTTCAAGCTCGACGGCGTCTGGTTCTTTGTCAGCTGCTTCTCGTCGTAATAAAACTTGAGCGACGCCAACTTGAGGCCTTTTCTATTTGCGTATGCCTCCATGAGCTTCCCAAACTTGGTGCTTGCCCGCACCCGGAACACGAGGTCGGTCCCGTCGGTATGTTTCACCGTGAGCGCGAGTCCCTCCTCTTTTGCAGAGTGACCGGCGGGGTCTGTGGAGTCGATCTCTTCCCCTTGGTTCGCCAAACCCGCCGCCGTCGACATCCCGCCAAAATACACCGCCCACTAATTCAAGGCCCCAACCTGATCCGCCCCTTGGCTTCTCGTGGATCAGCGTGGAGCCCAGAAGACGGATGCGCCTCTACAGAAAGGCTACCTACTCGTGTAGCTCCACTAGCATGCAGTGCCACGGCCCACCATGCAAACGTTTGGCCAACATGATGATCATCATGTGGGCTGCCACTCAGGCGTGACTGCATTCCCCTTGATTTCCCGCCACTTTTTAGCTTTGGCCATAGAATACCTCAGATTTAGGGTTTTAGCTTCTCCGTCATGGGGTTTAGCCCTAGTCCCACAGCCTCATGCAGGGTTTAGCCTGGAGTTCTCTTCCTGAGTTCCTCTGAAACGATGTTTCTGGACTTTGTTTGTAGAGCCCTCTAGCAAACGGTCACGCTGGAAAAGATGTACGGTGGCCGCGTTGGACCCCACTCCTGCCACTCGCCCAGCAATGTCTCAACGAGCGGGGCCCCGCACCTGCGATAAGAGCACGAGCCCGGAGAGAGACCGCCCCGAGTGTCCCCTTCAAACATTCCTAGCAGAGGCGACGTTCCTTGTCGTTCCAATGGAAACCGAGCTTGAGGATGCAAAGCCGAGGGGTGCCTTCGCCGAGCGCGGCAAGTCTCGAAAGGGGAGGTGCTGTCGAAGGGTGGCGCAAAGTTTGCTGCGGGAGAGGGTCGTCAGGATGATTCCATGGTTGTGCGCTGCATTGTTGTTCGTGACGTCGGTTGGCCTCTTCTTGGAGGACATGCATCGGCCAGGGTACACAAAGATTAGGTGAGGCGATGCTTTACATACTGAAACGTATGTCTGAATAGTTTGTTTGCAGGCTTTTGAGCAAGCCGTCACAATGAATCTATGTGTAGCTTTGTAAGGTCTCTGCATAAGTTTTTGGCGGTGAAGTTTGACCACCATTTTAGAAGCAGCTGTGATATGGCGCCCCTGCAGTAAAACCAATCAGTAGCGGATCCTGTGGCGTTGCAAAGTGAGAATGGAGCTGAGAAGCAGAGTGAATGTCAGGCACTCTGAGATTCCAAGTTGTAGCGAGTGTATGGCGAGTTTGGGCCTAGTGCATCCGCTTGCTGCTCCTTGTTCGCCCTTCTATACCAGATTTGTCAGTTTCTAAAAGGCACCGGTTGCGGTTCAAATGTAAGGGGGTGCCTCGTACGTCAATGGTCAACAATGTGGAAAGCATAGCACCTGCCAGAGTTTGGGTTTGGGCTGAGATTTGATCATTTAGTCCACATTCCCCACTTTTTCAGACAAATAACATAGCTGCCGTTGAGGAGGTTTATGATGCTGAGCATCCCTTGTTGACCCTCTCTGTGCTGTTCATTACGCTGAGATTGCTGTCCTTTAATAAGTATTGCCCCCATCAGTAAAGGAAGTACGGCCACTATGGGTTGGGCTATTGCAAGGGTACTCCCCATGAATGGGTGAGGTCCCAATGAGCCATCAGCAGATTGTTTTTTATAGAACTAGATGTTTGTAAGGCAACTCTGTGCCCAGCTCGAAAGCGGCCACCCGCGCAAGCTTGAGTGTTCCAAGTCCGGAATTGTGAGATCCCGATCCCGATTTCGGATTTTTACCATTCTACTTTCCAGGGAGGGGATCCAGTTGGTCCGGTGGAACGCGCTGATGGCCGCAAAGGCCAAAATGGAGCGCTACGGGAATGTGCGGGATCCGCAAGAACTAGAGCGGATGCCTGCGTGGGTCGTCTCGCTGAAAAGCCCAAATGAGCGGCGGGAGAAAGTGCGGCGGCAGATGGCGGGGCAGAGGTTGAACTACTCGTTTGTCGATGCGATTGATGGGATGCGGGAGGAGATACCTCCAGAAGAGGTGAGGCCTTTTAATTTGAGAAGGTTGGAAAGGTTGTGCTGCGGTGAGGACTTGAGTCGACGGAGTGTGGTTGGGTTGACGTTGTTTTGGAAATCCTCTGCGAGGACAAACACAAGTTAAAACACAAGTTAAGAAGTTGTGTCGTTTTCTGTCAATGGGGCTTCTGTATCGATGGGTACTTGCAATCGGTCATTCCTTCTGGTCGGCCGGTGGCAGGACGCAGATGCATCTGAGGGGGAGCCGATGCACCATAGGAGGAGGCAATTGGTACTCGTTTCTCATGGCATCGTTCACAGACCCACTGTCGGTCTATCTTTTCGGCCCTGCGCTGCTCCGTTCCTCAGCCCGGGGGACTCCGTTTGGGGCTACTACCTTCCTTTTCAGCTTGCACTTGATATACCTAGTTCTTTTCGTCAATTCAGCTCCCTACTCTCTTGAACTAACTTGAGCCGTGCCTTACTTCCTTTTTCCACCCATATCACATCCCTTTTCTCACGCATCACTAAACCAATATAACGTCGGCCACCTTTGGACCCGATCCAAACGTCCGCAATCTCCGACCCGTCCGCAGCTGCAATGGTTTCTGAGCAGCGGGCGCGCTTACGAGGGCGGAACGCCTTTCCAGCGCAAGAAGATTGCGACTGACGTCACGAACCTGCGGCTGCTGCACCGGATGCTCGCGGACAACGTGCCGATTGCGATGATAATGGAGGACGACTTCGTGCTGCCGCAAGGTCCGCGTCTCTAGATCTTGCCTCTTGGCCGCCTTTTACCCCGATCTCCCTTGGTCTCTCTTGGTCGGCACTTTCTTGAGAAGCCGTCTTTCGACTCGGTGGTTTCGCCTCCTCTTTCGTCTGTCCCTTTTTCTCGCTCGCGCTAATTCAGAACGTGTACTTCTCCTGGGTTTCTCTCGGTGTTTCGATTTACTTCTGTTGGCCAGCCACCGTTGGATCTTGTCGTGCTTTGCCGGGTTTGTATTTATTCCTGAAGCATAGATGACACGTACCACACTGTTCGAAGTGAGCACTGTCGCCCTTTCTCCATTTAGAGGCTCAGCAGAATCGGAACCGTTGACCGAGTTGTGACTGGCCCACCTTGACTGATGCGGCAAGGTCAGCTGTAATTACGAGCGAAAGGGTCGATAATATATCAAAGAGGATGATTGCAACGGGCTTAGGGCAACGAGTTGGACCGAATTGATAAGCCCTCAAGCAAGCGGATATCGCCACCAAAGTTTCTTCGTTCGGCACTATCTTTGTCGATATCGCAGCCTTCTAGGTGGGCGGATCGTTGGATACTTCCGCCTTGTCTTTCTAAACCTCGCACCGATCATCGAAAACTCGTCTGATACTGATCAAAACCAGCCGCCTGCCACTGCTTCCGTACCCTTCTTTTTTCTCAAGACCGCAGCGTTCCAACGGCCATGTTAGTTACGGTACATCTCAGCCGATTTCTGAGAGCTCCCACTTTGTCAAAGAGTCCCAAACCACTTTCGTACCGACTATCCGACAGAGCTGAGTGCCGTTAGCTGCCACGTTTCTCGCCGCTTCATGCCATCTGCCTTTGTTCCGTTCCGCTCCTCATTCCCCTCACTCCGTTCCACAGCGACCTGCTGCAGCGGCTGAAACGCAACGATGGCGCAGCTGCCGGTGGACTGGGACCTCTTTGCGCTCAACGCGTGCTCGATGCGCAAGCACGGCCAGACGCTGGGCCAGTTCGTCGGGGAGGGGGTCAGGGTCCTCAAGACAGGCAGCTGCACGCTCTGCGTTATCATCAACCGGGCGGCTGCGGTTAAGGTAGGTTTGTATGTTACGGTTATCTTGATTGACTTTTAAAATTTGGGCGGTTCAGCATTTTCGTCTGCACGGTCTGCGTCGTCATCAACCCGGCGGCCGCAATCAAGGTATGTTTTTTGCATATACAGATTCCCGAGTCTAGGTTTTCGAATCAGAGCAAGATCCACAGCAGTATGCTCGGCCTCCTCCCAGAACGGGAGGCCGTGGTAAGGTCAGGACGGTTCTGCATGTTTTAGGGTTGGCTTTTGCGGATCTGCAGAATCTGGGTTTGGGCGGTTTCAACATTTGGGGTTGCATGCTCTGCGTCATCATCAATTGGGCGGCCATATCGACGGGTAACTCTGCGGGTGATGCATTCGATCTTCTAGAATGGGTCTTCAATGTTTGGGCAGCTCGTAGGATCTGCAAGTCGCGGGGAGGGATTCCCAGTGCAACGGGCAACGCTGTTTTCGGGTTGACTTTTGGACTTGGGGGTTTGTGGAAACCTACGATACTATGGAGGGTCTACTTGGACGAATTGGGTCGTCTTTTCACAGAGTCAACGAGAGGTTCTGGTTGTGGGCAATTGGTGGTTTGGCGGCCCTGAAGGTGGTCTTTGGAGCTACAAGTCTTCGATGGCTTCCCTATTCGATACTAGTTTTCCGTCACATGAAGGTGATGTAGCTGCCTATCCACTGTCATCATTGCGTGGTTGTTCGTGATTTGGACCAAGGGTTTGAAAACCAGGTTGGATTTCCACAAGTAGAAGAGGATGGTTTGTCCTTGGAGCGTTTTCACTCGATAATTGCGGTGCGGATGTCTGCAATCGGACATGTTCGGATGGCTTTCTGTGGGATTTTACCTTGCGCCGATTGGGGTTTTGGCGACTGACCATACTGCTTCTGGCTGGCGGAAAGTTCAACGGACGAAAGAGAAAGACGTCTTTGGAGTAGCCAAATACGTTTAGTGCAAACTCTTTGTTCTCACCCGTCAACTTCGTCTGGTCAGGTGCTGAAAGCCTCGGAGCGACAGCTCAACTACCAGTACTTTGACAACCTGCTAATCGGGTATATGGCGCAAACGGGGAGCTTCAACAGCTATCTGGCGGACCCGCCTTTGTGTTTGTTTGATTCGTCATCGACGAGTGTCATTGAGCCTGGCCGAGAACCATTCCGAGACATCTTACCTTGACTTTAGAGAGCTAACATTGTTTGGTTGTAGCTTTTTGTCTTTCTCAGTCACGGGCACTTCTTATAATCCGTGTACGCTCTTGTCAGATACTGAATTGCCCCCAAAAAGCTCGACAATCAGGTTTGCTTTGAAGTCAGTGAATCCCGCTCTTGCACGAGATCAAGCACGCAGTAGAAACGTTGACAATCTATAGAAGAGTTGGGTAAGAAGTCACTCGCAGCGCGCCTAGTCAAGGGGGCCACGCCGTCACCGCTCTAGGTTCAAAACTTGGGATTTGAGGAGTCTGAAAAAGGTTGGAACAAAGATGTGTCGGACCATGACTAAGATGTCCTTCAAGTCTTACTCGAATTGTCTGTCTGCATGGACAAGAACATAACTCTGGACGTGACCCCACACTGACATACCAAAAGCAACTTTTAGAGTTGTACATGTCCGACTCACAAGCGGAATCGCCATGCACAAAGTCTCTGAAACCGGCTGCGCAGCGGCGCTTGCACGCTTTTTTAATTAATCTCTATAGTGTACTGTCGAATCATGCACGGACCATGGTCACAGACGGTATGCATGAAATTGTTCCAGAGCTAGTCCATCCGACCGTATGTACATGCAAATTCTTAACGCCGGCCGTTTATAAGCAGCATGCTGCAGGCCGGAACTTACTTCATATAAGTGAACATTGTGCCTATATGTATCTCTCATGCATGCAGATCGATATATATGTGCAATATGGCAACATTCAAGCATGCTAATGTGCATGCGGCTGCAATCAATGCCTGGCTCACATGATCGTCGCGAGCCTGAGTCGATATCATTTTGGCGATCGAAATGGCAGCCGCCGCGGACAGGGTCGTCAGACGTGCTTTAGTCATTAAGTCCATTGGTTTGGAAAAAGTAGTAGGATCTTCGTATGTGTTTGAAGATGGCTGTAGCAGTGCAATTCTCGTCAATTGCAGGCCAGGTGAGTCTGCTCATGATTTTGCAACTCGTGTACGGGGACCGCCCCATCGTTCGCACTGCGTATTCGACCAGAAGTTTCGACGAACCTGAACAATGTCCAGTCCGGCAACTGACCAGCATAGCTACATTGATCAGAGCTCGCACCAAAGCATCTGTCGTCTCGGCCGCTTGAGATTCCTCGCAAGCTCCTCCGTCTCAACTTGCTCCGTCACAAACCCTGTCTCTTTGTAGAGCTTTTCTGCTCTTTCGTTTGAAAGCTCAACATGCACATAGAGGTGCTTAATACCCATCTCTCTCGCTCGAGATTTCGCCTCTTCCACGAGGTAACGCCCCAAGCCCCTCCGCTGTAAAGTGGGCAACACGCAAACGCTGTACAGGTACCCTCGTTCCTTCCGTTGAAGCGGGACCTCGAGCGGCTTTGCCCCGACCAGGTTTTGGCCGGACAGCTTTGATCCTACCTGCAAAGTGTCGATTTCGGAGGGTCAAAAAAAAGACGGACCTCTAGGAGAGGCTGATTGATAGAGCAGGATTTCCTGCTTAGGTCTTCGATACCACGCGAATTCCATAAATTGTTAGAGCCTAGATCATGCGGAGGCAGACAACGTGAAAGCCAGGGCTTAGACTCCTCACAAGAGGACCCAGTGCATAAACCCGGCTAGGTTGCTACCAACAACAAAGCAACCAGAAGCGATCGACGCGGAGTCTCGCACGTCCGATTTCCGTCCAATCTTTTGTACTCCCGGTCGCGGCCGCAACAAATTGACGGGTTGGCTTTAACCGCAGATCACTTTTGATTGAAATACGCCTTCTGCCCGCGTTTCAGAAACGTCACGTCGGCCCAACTACGAGTGACGCTTGTGCAGGATACAAATTACAGCCTGCAACTTCGTGTCAAACGCATCATCGGTGAAGCACAGAATCCTTAACCCCTCTGTTAACCCAGGGTTTGCGACTCACCTGAAGCGCGAAAGTGGCGATGACGGCCATCTCGTGCTCCACCTCGAAGCTGCCCAGGCCGTCCGTGACCGTCTCTCTCCGCTTGAGAGTTGCGGGCCGCAGGATGACGTCACGGAAGGGGTCCGGTTCGGACGCTTGGCCTGGCGCACTCTGTTCGGACAGAAGAGACTGGTAGTACGGAAGGTCGCACAGCGCGAGCACCGCGTGCTCGGGCCGCTTCACCGCCCGGAAAAAGTCGATCTGGCAAAAGGTGGTTATGGAGAGGGTTACGAAAGATAACGGACAGGTTTAAGAGAGATTTCAGGGGTAAGGAGGGCTTGGAACCATCTGCGGTTAAGTTTGGGAGATGTTTGCAGGGATGCTTGGGAAGGCTCGAGATGACAGCATTGTTCTGGACGGATATTCGATGTACCCAGTTTCTTTGCGGATGTAAAATAGGAGGTTTGAAGAAATATAAACGAATCTGGGCTGCTTCGTAGCGGCTCGGGAAGGTCGTCAGATACTCGGACGCTGTCATTGAGAAGGTCAACTCATCGCATTCTTCAGTTATAAGAGACAAAATCGGAGGGGTCTGCCAAAGAGCCGCAGTATAGGGATCTGGGAGACTACACGAGCCCCTTGCCGAGGTGCTCACAAAGACACTCTCAACGGAAATGGGCCCTTTCTGAAAACGCCTAAGGAAAAGTCTGGTTGATCCTTCACGAGATCGAAGGGCCCCTCGACTGTGCAAACGGCAACTTCAAATGGGCATTGTTCCTGAGGTCAGAGGCAAAAGGTACGAGCTTTGCGGCAGATTTTTCGGGTCTCGTCATCAAATCGCTTTCCAATCTTTTATGGAATTGAGACCCCGCTGAGCTTGGGTGTCGGCTCGCGTTGAAGGGAGTGCGACATAGGACGGAAGATCCCAAGCCGTGAAAGTTCGATCCACCTTGTGCAAAAACTTCGAGCAGATTTGCAAACAATTTGCAGCCTGCGGTTCTTGTTTCTGTTCCATGCACCGCAGCCAAGAAGTAGGACGCTCGAGGACGACTGAGTTCTCAGACCGAGGTTGAGAAGAGAAAAGTACTTCAAAAAGGATGGTTTGCTCGATGATTTGAAGGCTGATGATCAGAGGCTGAGCTCACCATCCCCTTCTCCTCCTGCATGTTCTCCTTGAGCTTCATCCGGAACTCGGACCTCGCCGTCACTTTCTGCGCCGCTGTCATTTTTCCAACGTCTGGATACGTGTAGAACACCTGCGCCCGAAGCGTCGCAAGAGCATGCTCCGCCTGGGAGGAATCTACCACGGCAAGCGACACCTCCAACGGGGGCGGACTTGAGCCACTTTTGGCTTCACTAGCGCCACCTGTGCTAAGGACACCCCTTCCGATTTCAAGGTCCTCTAATTTCCCGGACGCTTCTCCATTTGGACCAACCCGGTCGTCCGGCCTCTGCTGCAGCGATCCCTCTTCCCTCAACACTTCCTGCAACTTCTTTCCCAAGGCCGCCTCGATTTCTACTTGCCTCTCATCGAACGGCTGTAAAGTTCGGCCGTCCCCCTCGCCTCTGCCCGTCTCTCCCGACCCGTTTCTTTCCCATCCCTTATCCACAGGCTTCCCCGCGGGGCTTTCGTTTCCTTGCTCCTCCGCTTGTCGTTCCAACTCGACTTGCTCCTCTAAGCTCAACGCACGGCCCCCGAACCCCGTCGCAACTTCAGAAAGAGAAAGCTGCCCGCTGCTTTCCGCATCCTTTGAGTTCCCGTCTCCTGGCCTCTCAGGAGCCTCAATAGCCCCAAGTCCGAAAGCGGTCCCTGCTTTCCCATTTCTTGGCGCCTCTCCAGGTGTTGCAGATTCCGTGTTGCCAGCAGTATGCTCTAGTTCCACTTGCTCAGCCAAACTTAGGACCCGCCCTTTGACCAAGCCAGACAGGGGAACAGAACTAGAATGCGTATCCGCAGGCTGCCGGCTTTCTTCGGATTGCTTTTCTAATGCAACCTGCTCTTCCAGGCTCAACGGTTGTACAAGCAGTCCCTTTGCAGCAAGGGAGAAGAGCGACGGGCCGTTGCTAGACTGTCCATCATTGGCTGTACTGCACCTAGTCCAGGGGCGTCTATGGCGCCCGTTTCTTCGGCTGGTTCCAGCTTTCCAAGGTGCAAATTGATTGAATTGAAGTTGATGTGCATGGTCTGCAAGAGGAGGACAAGAACAATGCATATCAGATAACACCTCTTTGGAGAGCCAAGTGAGAGCGTTGCTGAAACGAAAACACGCGGTTTTGTTGTATGAGTTTGCTTCACATCCCATATGCTGTTGCGGTCTGTCTCTAAATGGCAGCATCCTTCCGTGCAGACTCGGTGAATCCTGTTCACACTCACACCCTGCGGAGCAGAGCAGCTCAAGCAATCTCTGTTTCTCGTGAAAGCTCAGTGGCAGACCTGGACTGACTTTCACCAGAAAGCAAAACTTCAAAAAAGAAGTTCTCATTTTGATATATGGCTGGTGGTAGTCCTCATATCCAAAGCACAAAAATACATCAGCCAAAGGAGATGTTAGTCTTACTCTGTCCTGTGCAGGTGGTGTGCACCAGAGTGCTCTGCTCTCTCAACCCGAGCTTCGGTCCTCTTGACTTGAGGACACCCCACGTGGCGCTCATTGTCAGTTCAGCTGATGCCATTTGAAGATTTTAGCAGGCGCACATTTGCCTTACTTCTCCAGCCGTATGGGGTACAGATTAAGCTCAGAGAACGCAGCACAAAATCAGACTACTCTCGGCAATCTTTTGTTGCTAAATCTGATCGAAGTACATATTATGGCCCTCATCGTGCAAATCACGTCAAGCACTGGCAGCACGTGAAAAGTGAAAAGCTTTCAGCAGATGGAGGGGAAACCCCTTTAGGAATGATATCTACGTAGACCTTCGGCTTCGCTTCTCTGCGCCCTAACTGGGCCTCGGAAACCCCCCGGAAACCATCGTACAAATCTGCAATGCAGCCATGCAGCAATGGCAGCGTACTCAGCGTACGGTACTCAGCGTACGGTACTGATCATGCTCGAGCTAGGTTTGAACAGCTTCACACGTACCCCCCGGTGACCTTGTGAAAATCTTTGGGCAGGATGTGTTCAAAGGGAAACCGGCACGGGGTGTCAATGGCCAACCGGGCCAATTGAAGAGTGATTGACGGGCCGTTCTTATTTCCCGGCAATGTTTTAGGAGACTTTGTGCCGAACCCCCCTGAAAAGTGTTCAAGCAGGCCAACACTCCTGCTGCCATGCAAATGGCAATGCATGCATGGTCGTCGCATGATTTTCAATTTGGACCGTTTGGCAGGCCATTGCCAGAAACTTTTGCCACTGGTTCAAAAAGAATGAACAATGGTGGCGCCAAAGGAGCCTTCTTCGATCTGCTCCTAGCCGCCTGATGAAGTTGACTTGGTGGCTTCTGGACAAGCTCTCTAAGCATAGAATTGCACACCAGCAGACCAGCATTCTGCAACGCTGCAGTCAGGGCTGAGTATGATTCTTTAAAGCCGATGAGTGGCTCTCTGCACTTCTGGATGTAAGTCCTCGGTCCTGTCATGCTATGCTGCCGCACCCTCTGCAAGGTGGCGGCTAGGACCATGGCTACAACAGGATTGCAGGGAGGCAGGTTCTGCGCCTCGCTGATGTCACTGGAGCGATGTATTCCACGCTCTTGCCGAACCAGAGGCATCCTAATTAGTCCGCGCGCAGCAAACTTCAGAGGCTTCTGCAACCGGAGCTTGTCAGAAGCGGGTGGCAAGATCTTTCCCCTGAGGGCGCCACTGCGAATTGGTGTGTCTTTACTTTGTTGGGACCCCCTATTCTTACGGGGTTGTGCGTCAGTCATCGAGCCCGGGGCAACTATGAGCTTTCAAGCGACATCTGCCTCATCTCGGACAAGCATTGGGGTCCAACCAGAGACTTCTTACAAAGCTGAGGATAAAGACCCGGTAAAAGCAGGAAGTGACAGCATGCGTCGAACGCAGAAGAACAAACAGGGCGAAGTTGAGGAGCCGGCTGCTTTGCCAATAGAAGGAATAGACGAGGCGACCGAAAGGAAGATCGTTGACTTTGTTCGGGAGTTTGTTGACAACTCAGTTGGCAAGAGGAGCTTCTTTCCAAGAGTGACAGAGGCTCTGAGGTCAGCGGGTTTCCACCTGGAGAAGGGCGCCCTGCCTCAGCTGCTGAAGAAGCACCCCAACCTGTTCGCATACAATTCAGCCAACCAGTATGTCCAGCTGAAAAAGCAGAAACCATCGAAGGTGAGAGCATATGCATTCCTTCAATTGGCAAGTTTTAGTAATCAATGGACATTGTGCCCTCTGGAACGAGTTTATTCCTGATCGCAGACAAGCTGCTCCCACTGCAGCTGACTTAAGCAGACACCGAATCCTTTGGACATCTTTGGAACTCTCCCTCCTTCTGCACCACCCAAGATCTGGCATGAAGTTCGTTTGAACTCCATGCCAGGCACTTCATCCTACTGCTTACATTAGACCCTTCTTCTTTTGCTATGGATCTGAACGATGGCCCGATAAGACCATGGACTCGTTGTCAACCAATATCCGGAGTTGCTGTATGGGGTTTGAGTGTTGCAATGAATCTCTATCTGAATCAAACTGCAAACTTCGCAGTGCACGACGTTCTTGCGAAGCCAAAAGATGATGATCTTTGGTTGGAAGGTTATGTTTTCATTTCGGAAGTCGGACCTTTTGCCATTCAGGACTTTGAAGAGCTGAGCTTCGAGGAGCGCGAGCGGCGCTTTGTCGACTTCCTGGTGGCCGTCCTGCAAGAGCCCCCGATCCCCTCCGACGGCTTCTACCTCTGCTGGCTGTCCGCACTCGCAAAGCACCCCGCTTCCGGAGTTGACCTGACCGGGTTACAGCGCATGACCCGAATGGTTTACAAGCACTTGGACCTCTTCGACTTTGACGGATATGGCACCCCGATGATCCGGATTAAGCTAACCGAGCAGGGACGGTTGAGGACGCCCCCGCCACTGTCGAGGGAGTTCCGGTTGTATCTGAGAAGCGATCAGATGCAGCGGTTCCGGGACGGAGTGTATGTCGGGGATGTGGAGAGGAAAGCTGAGATGGAGGAGAAGGCCAAGGTGAGAATGTTCTCGACTTCGCCTTTGCCTTGGACACCTTTTTCTTTGAGGTCCTTCTTGTGCTTCGAAACTTGAGCAGGGAGACCTGGGCCTCTATGAGTGCTAAGTTGTACCTTTTTGTACCGTTGCTTTGGGTCCCTAAAGCAATGATGAGTTTGCTGGGGAACCGGGTCAAACTATGCGACTTCAAGGCGCATCTTGCAAGTGAATCGTGACAATCCCTGCCCCATCCGATTGGTTTTGAGCTCTGGCTGACAGAATGACAGCTCTCGTAGTGAATTGGAACCCAAAGCACAGGAAGGAGGCGATTTGAAACATGGCACATGCGGCCTAGTGTTTGTTGCGTCGAAGACTGGATCTGTTTTCGAGGGCACATGGTGATCTTAAAGTCCGTGTTTCAAGTCTGCTCAGTTTCGGTAATGATGAAGAGAAATTAGGTCGAGACACGAGGATAGAGACGCCTGTCATGCGGGCTTTCACTTGCCTTGATGTTTCGGGTTTACCAGACGTGTGTAGTGGCTGCTGACCGTGCTTGTTTCGTGAGATTCTTTTTTTCCGTTATCTCGAGGAGGAATTCGTTGGTCCAAACTAAATCAGTCTGCTCGATTCTGCAGGCTTTGACGGAGGAAGAACTAGCAGTGGTCCTCTTTCTGATGCGGGCCGTCCACTCCAAGGGCCCAGGGGGAGTGTTAAGCTTGAATCATGCGGGGATGTTGGTACAAGAGCGCGGTCTGAAGGTACGAGGGAAACACCCAAAATTGTCAACCATTCTCATAAAGAGCCGGGACGCATTCGACATGCTTCAGTGGATGACCCCCTATGCGGCAGTCTCTTTGACGCAGGAAGGATGGGACGTGGCAGAGAAGCTGCCCCATATAGAGGGCTTGGACTTTAGCGTAGGTAAAAAGAGTTCAAAATCAGCGGGGGCGGAGGACGACGGATTTGCCAAGGAAAGTGAGGATCTAGCAGGCGAGGCACCCGATTGAAAGGAAGAACTATGTGAACGGAAAATGTCGGAAGGAGGTATAATGCTGCGGGGTATTTGTCGTCTCAAACGCCGAGAGCCGTGGTATAAGGCTGGGCACCTAAGCATGCATGCATGGTTAGGTTTGATATGCAGTGCGTGGTGCTTAATGATCTTTGCTAGCTACTACATGTGCACATGCATTATGATATGACATCGGTCCAACTTCTTGCAATGGCAACTGCAGGATTGGCATATGATTACATTTCGTCTCAACACGGTCATGCCCCGCCTCTATCTGGGCGCGGCCAAAATTCCTGTATTCAATGATGATCCGCTTACGGGCAATTTGCGCATAAGCTGCCACAGCATGCAATCTGTATACTTTAAAAACGGTGGCCAACCATCACATGTGTGCATATAATTATTGACCACTGTGCCAGTGCATGTGCGCCGCGCCACCCAGAGCGCTCGCGCGCCGCAGTATATTTGCGGTCAGCAACTTGGCGGCAGTACATATATATATACCGTATACTGGGACCTGAGGCCTCATGACCTGAGGCCTTATACTTTAAGGGCATGATAGCCTAGACATATATACTCTTATAGTATTATATTATAATGCATAATGTCCACATCGAAATCCGCAATCCCGGTACACGTACACAGCTAGCTTCCGCGAATGCCCGGGCCGTTGGGGGATTGGCCCTATATATGCAGATGCCGTCGACTCCCAATGACACGTGCAACGAGTATCGGAATTCGGAACGTCCGTCATGGGCGGCGCGGGGACCATCGAGCAAGGCACTGTCGAAGTGTCTTTGAATACGATCATATCCTATTTGAAGCATGCCTTTGGAGAAAACCATTTTGCCCCGTTAATTGAACGGAGACCCTCAAAGAATCTGTCAATTCGACCAGATTTAGTGAACCAAATCTAAGATATTCAATACACAACCTAAGTATAGTGTCACTATTCATTATAGTCAAATATTGCCTCAACTAGCCCCCGGCCCCTCACGGATTACTCAATGCAAGACTACTCCAGAACCAATTCTGTGCACGGGCCCGGACCTACAAAGTCCACATTGCGGTCTCCTGAATGTTTCGCCCAGATGTAGAATCATCAATGATCAGTCGGTGTGGCTGCGGGGGACAGGTCGAAGGAGCTGGAGGACTAGCCAAAAAGTCGAAGCACGATGTCGATCTTTTTGTTGCACATCGGGCAAGCCCCCCGCTGCTTGTGTACCACTCCGCCGCAGCCATAGCACACTCGATGCCCGCATGGCACGAAAGCGGCATCTTTGGGCTTCTCGAAGCAAATGCAGCAACTGGATCCCTCGAATAGGTCGGTACCTTCCAAGCCTTCATCAACCGGGGCTACTTTAGTCTTTCCCTTGAGACCCGTGTTCCGGCCGTCCACCCCACCGGCAGGCGTTTGAGATGCGTATCCGTTCACCGTGCGGGGCCCAAGTGTGGCAGCGGCCGCGTCAACCGACAAAAAGTTGGTGCCAGAGCTTGAGGCTCCCTCGGCCCCTGTGCTACTTCCATTTGGCACACCCCCCGCCCTCGGCAAGAGCGTCGGCAGGATGGCGGAGAGCAGGTGGTCCGAAGTCGAGTTCCTTGCGACCTCTGCCGGAAAGTTTCCAAACCGGATTTTCGAGGCTTGCGTGTTGAGCTCCTGTTCCCTTGACTCAAGCCGTAGAAGAGACAGGGGAACGTCTTCCCAGGTGTCGGAGCTCCCAGGCACATGTGAAGGCCCCGTTCCGTGAGCGGCGCCAGGAAGAGGAGATGGTCGGCCGTTGTTACCGACGCGGTCACTTCCACTGTCGCCTCCGTTTGGGGCAGAGGCAGTAGATGCTTCTGCCACCCCCAACTGCAGATGTTCCAGTGAAACCTCAATGCTCTGCAGCGACTCGATCGAAAGAAGCGGACAATTAAGTGCCACGCACTGTTCGAAAGGGATTATCCATTTTCAGCAAGAACTGCAACTTGAGGTGGAAGAAGCCCTGTGAACTGGTGCAACCTGATGAAAGCGCACACGCCTGCAGCTGCTCTGGATGTTTGGCCAGAAGATTCAGCAGTGTATCTGCTATTGACCGTCCAAACGCTTTAGTGATGGAATCCTCCATGACGACTCCAGGCAGGCTGAATTTGAAAACATACGCAGGCTGGGTCCTATCCAGTTTGACATACAAGACTTGTGAGGAATGGAGTACAGTGCTGAGAGTCATGTTTTTGATGTGCAGCCGCTAGTGACATGCGAAATTCCAATCAGTCAACAGAAAGAGACCAAGCTAGTCAGTACAATCTCATCCAAACAAAAGATCGATCTGAAAGCAGCGTAAGGAAATGGGGTGTCTTACATGTTGGGCAAGTGCCGGGGTTTGCGAGACTGGAGTGCCTGGCACCATCGCCGGACGCACCTCGGAATCTGGCCCTGACGTAGACGACTGGTCCAGGGAGACATGTCTTGGGGAGAGAAGGTGTTGCCGTAGAGCAGCCGCAGAGGCCAAGGTTCGGTCACAATCTTCGCAACGATGAACGTGGATGGGCGAGTTGAGGTGCTGCCGAAGAGCCGCCTCCGTGCAGAACGATCTATCGCACTCCCGACAGCTATGGGTCGGGACTCGGTGTGCGGGAGAGGTTTGGAGGTGTTGCTGCAATGATTTTTCCGAGACAAAGACTCGATCGCAAAGCGCGCAGTGGGGAGGGGGGTGATATGCTTCCGTGTGCCGGTCTAAGGCCGCTGTGCCGACGCAAACTGTACTACACAGGTCACAAACCAGCACTTTGTGAACGGCAGATTCCCTTCGGTGTTGCTGCAACGCTGCGTCGGAAGCAAAGGTCCTGTCGCACTCTGCGCACTGAGGAGGGGGGTGATACACTTCCATGTGCAGGTCCAAGGCCGCTGTGCCTACGTAGTCTCTGCCACACAAGTCACAAGTGAGGATTTTGTGAACGGGAGATTCTCTAAGATGCTGCTGCAACGCTGTGTCAGAGACAAAGGTCCTGTCGCACTCTGCACAGCAAGGGGGAGGGTGATATAACTCCTCATGCTTGTCCAAGGCTGCTGCACCTATGCAATATATCCCACACTCGTCACAGGCGTAGACTTTATGGACTGGGGACTGCGATAGGTGTTGTAGCAGCGCTTTCTCTGAGACAAAGGTCCTGTCACAAGGGGAGCAGTAAGGGGGAGGATGGCATTCAGCCATGTGCTCATCAAGGCTCGCGACACCAATGCAGCGCGTGTCACACTCTTCGCACTCGATAAGCCTATGCACCGGTGAGTCTCGATAGTGCTGCTGCAGCGCACCCTGTGAGGAGAACTCTCGATCACACTGCTGACAGTCGTATTGGTAGTAATTCCCCATCTCTTGGTGCCGCGTAACAGCCGCACTGTTATGGTGTCAATGCTACACCTTGAACAAAGACTTACAGCCCCGCCCCTTCACCGCCCCCCTCATTCTCAAGCGGGGACTATTGTCACAGCTAATTGCCACTTCTTTGGAACAAAAGCCTGCTTTAAAGGCTTCTTCTGGCCTACATGACCTCCAGCCTCCGTTTGCTCAGGACAGAATGGGACAGACGTTGGATGGGAAAAACAACGCGCAATGCTGCCCATGCCCCTGCATGCCCATGTACATAGTGCAGCATATGCACATGTGCAGCATACATGTGCAGTCTTCGAGTTTACCGTACTGCCAAGGTATGATTCCGAATGCTTGAAAAATGCAATTATTCTACAGAATGCGAGTCCAAATGTTGTATTATTTTCCGGAATCCGACCCTGAATCCGAATGAGACGAAAGGTACCCAGGTACCCTTATATAGTGGGTCTTAAAGGGTACCGGTACGTACCTGAAGCTCATACGGGCTTCAAAATCACTTTCCGAACGAGATTTAACAATTAATTTCCATTTCCGAAAAAGCGAATTCCGAATGCTTTTTTTGGAGTTTCCAACTTTCCGAATGCAAATAATTATTTATTTATTCGGAATCATACCTTGGTAGTACGGTACTCTTGAGTCTGACTCGCGCCCGCGAGTCCGCGGTGCCGACCGCTCAGGCTGTGCTTGCCAGTCGGTACGTACCGGCCCGACGTCAGCTTGTCCAAACTCACGCATAGCTCAAGAAGCAGAGATCTGCGACAGTGCGAGGACAGTGTTGATTGGATCAGGACGCTATACTCAGACTGCTGTGCTTGGCCCAAAGCTTGGTGGTTCGCCATGTTGCTTGTTGGAAACCTAGATAGGTAGCTTGAGGTTGAGACCTGCTGCCGCAAAACCGACACATGCCACCAAGTCGTTGGAGGCGCTCTGGGGTAACTTGAGAGAGATGGAATAGCGGCTCGTGAGCAATGCTGATGTTTCAAAAACAAAAAGAATCACAAACAAAAATGATACATGTCTCAAAAGGTGGTTACACGAACTTGGTCCACGAGAGCTGATCACTTTTTGAGTGCTTAGAAGACAGCGATAAGTATGTGTGCGCTCCTTGGTTTGCGAACATGGACGCTAATCAGGCTTCCAATGGTGCGGCAGAAAGTGTAGTGCCACCAGCAGATCAGGCGCCTGCTGATGCACACCAGGGTGCCAATATGAATGGGCCCGAAGAGGAGAACCTGCTGGATGCTGTGGGAGATTCTGCAACAAGGGACACCGAAGCCGAAGATGAGATTGATGAGTGGGAGCTGGGCGATAGTTATCGTCGGTCAAGAAGAAAGCGCACTCCGCAGGGGGATGTGTACTCTGCGGCAAGAAGTGGTGAGGCGGCAGATCGTTCTAGATGGAAAAGCGGACGCTACGTGGACTTTGATGGAGTGGTGGTGTGTCTTCTCTTGCAGTTTATATTGTTGGAAGAAGAAGTCAAGCCGGAGCCTGGCTGGTCAAGAGATGACTTTTCATGTATCACTTGTATAGAATGAAACTGAGGGTTTTCTATGCCGTAGCTT